TTTGTATGAGATTTCGAAGACAATACATTCCGTTTTTTGTTGACTGAATTCTTTTTTTGTTACCTCTATTTGTTTTTGTTACCTCCACTTGTTTTTAGAATCAGAATCAAGCATAGTTCAGTCATAAGCCAGTAATTCTTCAAACAGCCACAAATCAGGCCTATTTGGTACTTTTGATATTTTAAAGGAAACTTTTGTCTCGTCTCCGCTCGACGCCCTCATAGAAAAAGTTATACAATTTGCACCCTGCTGAGAATTTAGAATAAAGTGAACCACCTTGTATCTGACTGTTCTCGTAGAAAAATTATTTTTAAAAGTTTAAACCCTTTGTAAGAATGTTCAAAACTGCCCTCCCTCACAACGCTTTTTTCTAAGTACTGCCCGTAAAACGTTTCCAGATCATGTCTGATAGCGTGCGGACGAACCGTATGTGACATCAAAATGTCCTAATAGACCAGCATTAGTGGACTAGCTGCTGTAGGGTATTGATTTTAACGTTTCCTAACTTACTTTTCTGACATTTTAATTACATTGCCTTTTAAAGCAAAGGAGTGTTTTATTTGCCTTTAAACACGAGGCGAAGCTGGCTGCTTCGGTTAAAAATTGAAATATAAGTTTATTGAATGGCTTCTAAATCATAAATAAAGAAAAATTAATTTTACAGGATAGTTCTCGTGCTTTGGTGATTTACTTACTTTTTTAAAAGGTGAGCTAAAAAATCAGCTAGGTTTTCTCAGATTCAAGAATCATATTGAACATTAATTTTCTTTGTATTTTTGTTATGAATTATTAATAGTTTTTTGGAAAATTTTACGAAGCAAATTTCAATAACAGAAAACTTTCCATAAATCAAGGATAACATCTCATCGGTAACATAACGGACAACATCACTTAACGGTAAGAAGTTCTGTTTCCACGAGAAATTCTTCACAAGGTTTTTTCGTATTACTCCCTGAATATTTATACAGTTTTTTTTTAACAAAACGGAGTGAGCTTGACGCCTATAAGTCGAACCTTGCCTGAAAAAATAATACTGGCTTTAGAAACGATGCAAGAAAAAACACCAAAACACCTTTCGTCAGGTCTTTTACTTTGCGTTCTGAACGTCTCTTTATCCTATACTGCTATCATGTCAAACATTGTCACCGTACACGCGGTACGAAAGACATCATCCTTGTCAAAGAATTTAAAAACATTGCTCTTGAGTCAGGCTGTCTCTGATATCGGTGTTGGTTTAGTGGCGCAACCTTTGTATGTCGCACGTATGATCCTCTCTTGGAGTCAGGGTACTGAAAACAATCCAACATATTTTGCCATGATGATAATGCACATTATCGCGTCGAATCTATTCAGTTTTGCAACGATCCACGGCGCTATGGCGTTGTGTACCGACAGATTCATGGCTGTTTATCTTCACCTCAGATACCAGGAACTTGTCACACACAAGCGAGTTGTTGGTGTGGTAATCTTAATTTGGGCATTGAGCGGATTTCTTTCATTCGCCAGGCTGTGGATGTCAATAAATTTCATGTACGCAATTCTGGCGATCGTTATATCCGCTTGTATTGTAACGGCAACTTTCTTTAGTGTCAAAATTTGCTGGTTTGTACGGCGCCACGTAAGTGAACTTCACGTTTTGCAGGCACCACAAGTTACGCAGAACGGTCAACTGGCTAATATCTTACGGCTGAGAAAGTTCGCGATAGCGTCAGTTTATTTCCATCTGGTTTTTCTGATTTGTTATTGCCAAATATTTTCACCTCTTTTGCTGTCGCTTTCACCTCTTACCCATTGAGCATCAAACTAAAGGCTTTACACGGTTATAGCCTGACGCTCCTCTATCTCAATTCATCAATTTATCCGCTGATTTACTGCTGGAAGATGAAACTCATCCGCCATACAGTCATTAACTTTCTAAGGAATATATTTTAAAGCCATAGTTGAGGGAATAGAATTTGATGAACTTTGAAAAAAAGATTGTTGTTTCAATGGGGTAAAGGCAAGAAATCGGTTTAAAGCGACTTCGTAAAAATGTGTTATTGTAAATAAGTTCAATTTAAGACAAGTCACGTAGAAGAGTCGTAAGATATAGTTTTAGCAAAGGCTAAAGGTAAAGCTACCGTTGATAAATTTATCATTTATTTCAAACAATAAACTTGTACCCATCACGCTGAAAACTAGTAACTTGCAATTGTGAGCTGATAACTTCAAAAAAACAAATAATCTTGATGAGTCGACTTCTGAGCCCGCGATACGGTCATGTAATATTGGTCAGCAGATACCCTGTTGTGACAGCTATAACAATTAACCAAAACATGGATTCGCAGTATCAGGTTGCAGGCTCCCACACAGAACATTACTTTACTTGTGGTGCGGACGGACGGACGTACGGTCACGAGGCTACCAAAATTTTCTCGGATGGAAAGATAACCAAATTTTCTTATCTAAGGGCCACCGCTGAAGATACGACACACACTTAATAAAAGAGGAAGAAAATAGACTGACAAGTTTATGCATAGCCGGAGAACCAACCCTAAACAGTACGAGCCGCCAAATGTTCCCTTTGAACTTCTCGTCCCCGAGACAAAGCATTAAATTTGGGTGGAAGGAAGGGAGGGAGGGAGGAAAAGTACGAAAGCAAGGAAGGAAAAAGGGAAAGGAAACGAAGGGAGGAAGGGAGGGAGGAGGGAAAAGGAAGGGAAGGAGTAAGGACAAGGAAAAAAGTAAAAAGGAAGAGAGGAAGGAAGCTAAAGTAAGGAAAAGGAAGGAAGCAAACGGAAGGAAAAGAAGGGAGGAGGGAAGGGAGGAAGAAAGGAAGGGAGGAAGGGAGGAAGGAAGGAACGAAGGAAGGAAAGAAGGAAGGGAGGAAGGGGGGGAAGAGGAAGGAACGAAGGGGGAGGGAGGAAGGAAGGAAAAGGAAGGGCTAAAAGAGGAAAGGAGGGAGGGTCAAGGACGAAAAATGTTCTAACTCTGAAAAGACTTGAAGAAGGAGAAGGGAAAACGAAATAGTGGACTTATTTGCCTTTAATTTAGGAAAATTTTTCATGGAAGGCCCACCCCATAAAATATCATGGTAGATGAAGCTAATAAATACAGTTCGCGTTTGAGAAAATCAAACATCTTCCACTTGTCAGTTTTCAATTTTATTTGACTATCAGCATCACAAGCTTTGTGCATTTTTTAAGCCATTTCTTAACGAGATTATATTCCTAGCTAAATGTCAATTCATTATCTATAAAACAGTCTGTATTACTGCACTATTTACGTTACAATCGTAACGCAGATGAGTATTGAAAGTTTCTTCATTATTTAACTTCATGATAATCAAAACATTCCTTACAGCAAAACAACTTTGGCTAGATTTCTTTACTCTCGCTTTATTCAACCCACCTCACGTACGACGTACCGGAGTGTAAACTCAAACGCCTTCCCACGTTATATCCAATAAGGCAATATAGTGTAAGACTTCAATTATCACGTGTCTAATTAATTTTTCTAGAATTAGAATACAGTATTGCATGCGTTTGGTCAGCGGTACTACCAGAGAATACAACGCGACAGTCTATGTCCCACTTGCCAGCAAGAAGAGCGAGAGGTCTGGGGACCATCTAGTTTAACTCCCAAAAGAGACTAAAACGCACTATCGACATAAGGCGCGAGAAAAATGGGAGAACTCTAAAGAATTTAACTGTCCTTCATCTCTCATAGAAATCATTAAAGCTTATTTTTGCAGATCTTTAGGCTCTCAAATTCTAGGTCGGAAACAACAATAGATTCAACACCTCTCAGTTGAAAGCTCTATAATGACTTTTGTTACAAGATACGCATTACCAATTACAATAATTATTACTGTTACAAAATTTAATTTCGGTTTTAAAAAAATACATGAATTCACCTAGTTTACTGTGAACCTTGTCGGGTAATTTAAAATAAAAAGTGCTTATGTGCCACGAAACTAGATACCAGCGTCAGAATCAGCCATAGCTTAGCCATCATTGTCACTTTTGTTATGTAAGCACACTACATCAGTTGACATTATTCCCTTTTTTTCTCCAATTGTTTTTTCAAGTTTTGTTTTAGCTTATCTAACTGATTAAGCCAACTCTCCTTGGCAAACGAAGTAGGAAAATAGCTTATCACAAGCTGCAAATTCCTCCCATTGTATTGGTTTTGTCACCATGGCTACCGAGCTTTCTATCTGTTTCATGCTGTTTCCACCTTTATTGCCTGAGTTATTCCTTTCGCGGAGTACTGGTAACCACTCCGCGAGGAGAACACGTGACTTGTGAGCAAGCCGAAAAGGTCGCCATATTAGAGTATTTTGTAATAAGAAAAAGTTAAAATTCCATTTCGCGGCAAATCCCTTATTTCTCGTTATTTGCTCTACTTTCTTGCTTTTAGAGGAAAACCGGGGGTCTTTAAGACAGTAATTCGAACACATTCAATAACCAACCCACCAGATCAATTCGACACTTCTTTCCATTTTGTCCCGTAGGACAAAACCTTTTTGATGGATTAACCACCTACTGATCACAGACCACAGAGCACTAATGCGCGCTATGTGTAGCCGAGAGATTTTCACGAAAAAATGCCTGCAACAGCAGATTTTCGACTCAGACCTCAAAGGGGCGTGGCATTATAACCACGTGACATTTACTCCGATCGCCAAATATTTTATGTTATATTGTAGATTGATCTATATGTTATCCATTCTATGTGTTAGACTTACGATAAAAGTAAAGGTGGGGATACCAGAGAACTTCAAAGTAGGAGGGTACCCCCCAAAAAAAACTGGGTCGAGTCACCTTAATTACACTTTTTTTTTTCTAGAGAGTCGATTAACATCGAACTTTGAAAAAGGATGTTTTAAGTCAAGCTTAAAGTCAAGCCAACATCCTTGTACGAAAACAGCGAAGGAAGGAAGTGTATCGTCGTTTAAAAAACATAGCTATCTCTAATTCAATTTTGTAGTAACATGTCTGGCATCTTATGGTAATACATTAGAAAAGGCCAGCTTTCTTCCTAAGATTCGTCTTCTTCCACATTGCCAGAGCATCAAAAGCGGTTCTGGTCATGTTAAACGCTTTCTGCGAAAGGAACAAACCAAAAAACTTTTAATTCATAAGCTTGAGAAGACAGCCGACACTGGTTTCCCCTGAGGAGCGAGCGCAGAAATTCCAAACTGATGACATGTCACTACTAAGATCTGGGTAGTACTTCAGTTCTGATTGGTCGTACCAAGAGGGCGATTTGCATCAACCAATCAGAAGAACTAGCTAAATCGCCATCAGTATGGAATTTCTGCGCTCTTTCCTTAGTCGACTCTACGCGGGGAAACCAGCAGTAGACTACGAGTGGTCCCCATTTTTCCTCAGGGATAGGAGTAGAGTGAAGAAGCGCGAGCGCGCGTGAAAATCAACCCAAGCGAGAAAGGCGAAAGGCGAAATGGGGACCACTCGCAGTCTAGACCAGTAGTGGTGTCGAAAATTTTTTCGGGCTTTTTATTGAATAATTCATAAACCCCTTTTAAAAGCCTGTTTTATTTGCCAGCAGTCACGTTGCACAGGCTGAAGATGCAGTTCAAAGAGAAATGCAGTTCTTACCTCGAAGTCAGCTTCGCTAAGGTACGTTTCAAGTCTCGAGGGATCCACTCCTTCAGGTGGTGGTTTTTGCTTGAGTTCCTCCAGGCTGTACTCTTTTCTACATGTCAAAAAACGAAGAGTTAATGTGAAGAGTAAATGTTAAAACAGTCCATCAAGAAAATTAGAAATTTTTCTCTCCGAATAAAACAAACATGGTTCTCCCTAGTTTATGCACGCAGTAAAAATGGAATAAATTCTTTAATAGTCTAATCTACAATAAATAAATAAATAAATAAACTGAGAGATAAATATATAAATTTATAATTAGTTGAAGGAATAAATGTATTGACACCACCCCCGGGACCAAATGCAAAAAGACAAACCTCGAAAGCTTTGCAAGTTCCGTTTCCAGCTTTATAATATCTCCCTCAACCCTTCCAGTCTAAAAGCAACAAAACAGAAAGAGTTCACAGTCAAACGTTTTTGAACCTGGGCTAATTTCCAGAGAAAACCAGCACACAAAAGCCTTGAACAAAATGTTACCCTGAATGGTTTGAAAGAAGGATCAAGGAGGCAAGTCATATTGTAATGCATAAAGAGCCGCATAAAAAACCTATGATGTACATCTTCGAGCTGATACTCTTCTTATTTATAGGATGCGTGAAAACAGCCTAGAGGTCCTGGAAATTGTTTCTTAAATTGCTGTATCTATTAAAAATAGGCTTTTATTGGTAAATAATTGAGTCTGGAAGGAGTAAATTTCACATTAAACACTAAATAAATGTAATAGAAGAAGTACTTACCGATCGGTTTATTTTAGCAACATCTGGTCTGTCTTCCCAGAAGGGGAAAAGATTCTGGAAGGACTTCGGTTCCAGACCAGCAAAAACAATAAATACTTGGGAGAAATCTCGTTCAAGTTCTGAAAACAAAAAATGACTTCATGGTTAATGTAGGGAAAACTAGAAATTCGAGGTCTTTTGCCTAAAACAAACAAACACATGAACATAAAAAAACAAGTTTAGCCCCCAAGTATATAAAGTCGAACCTCACCTGAGCGGCCAATTATAAGCGGACAGTAATCAAAGTCCCGAAATAATTGTAATCGTCACATCAATTTAGCGGCCAGCAAGCGCTTGATACACGTACTTTGGCTTTATTTTAAAAATATAACGAGGGAAAATACAGTCCGAGAAAAAAGGTGCGGACCAAAAACGCCGCTTCAGTCGCGTGTTAGTTTCCAAATAAAGTGATGTTTCTACTGACGATTATGCTAATTTACATGAAGAACCTCGATTGAGCAGCTCTATTAAGCAGAACCTCTATTAAGCAGCCCCTTGCCGGTACCCCGAGGGCAGCCGCTTATTGGGGGTTTAACTGTACTTCCTTACCCTCGGAGACCCAGGTATAGAGAGTTGGAATGAAATGTTGACCGAGGCGAAATCAACGAACGCAAGGTTTGCAGGAAGAATGGGAGGGCTCAGACATAAGTTGTTTCCAAACTAGTTCTAGAGAGATTTAAATTCCCAGACCCGTGTGTGGGCGAGAAGGAAACATGTTTTTTATTTATAATTTGGGAGAGAAGGAAATAGTTCCTTAAGCGGGTTGGGGAAGGGGTGGGGGGGGAGGGGGGGTTGATGGTGGTGGGAGAGAATAAAACAGTACCTTGAGCGTAAGACTTTATCGTTTCCATTGCCAATCTTCGGTCATTACTCCAACGCGTTTCCGCAGAACCAGTTGTGCAAGCTCTGGATTCTGAATCTTCATCATTCGGCCACCAGCCATGCCATAGATACATCTCATTTACTGCATCTACCAGGAATAATGCTGTGGAGAAACAAACTCGGTAAGAAACTTGCTTTCCTTCACCCTATCAGCGTAAAAGGAGCCTGGAAAGTAGGATTGCGGGTGACAAGAGTCGGCTGCAATTATTGGTGTAACACTAGTTCCCAACCAATCTCAGCTCAGCAACAAATAAAAAAAAAAGTGGTTTTCAAACCTCCGTTGTTATTTGATGCGGTACAAAACGAAACTGAAGATGAATGCTGTGGCTAAACTTTTTAAACGCTAACTATACTCACTGCCACTGATTCAACTGCTTTAGTCTTAACTAAAACGAATAGGCGAATTTTCGTCGCTCGTTAAATTTATTTATAATTTTCGGCTTTTTGCGAGCAATAACAAAGAAAATAGCAGCCACTGAGGACTGCAAAATTGATTTTACCATAGACTGCGTTTCCGCATTAAGATTACCACCGCTGAGCTGGACTTCAGCTCTAATTTAAGGCTTCATTCCAGAGGTCAAAGTCCTGGTATCTAACACTTTGCGTCGTAAATGCTTTTCTATCTTCCATCGCCTCTATACTCAATATTCTGATAATCCACGCGATAAGAAAGACTCCGTCCTTGGCAAAGAATTTAAAAATATTGCTTCTGAGTTTAGCAGTTTCTCATCTTGGTATTAGTTTACTGGCGCAGCCCATGTATGTTGCACAACTCACTATGCAGTGGAAATACCGCAATGAATCTTATAATGCCATTTATATCGCCGATCTTATCCCGACGAATATCTTTATTACTGCGACATTGTTTAGTGTTAAGGCTCTATGTGCAGAGAGATTTTTGGCAATTCAACTTCACCTCAGATACCAGGAACTTGTGATGTACAGGCGCGTTATTATATCCGTAATCTCAATTTGGGTATTTAGCACACTTACTTTATTGCTCAAGTTGTGGATCCCAAAAAGTATCATGTTCGTATTTTCTGTTATTAAAGATTCTTCTTCTATTATAACTGCAACTTTCCTGAGCATCAAACTTTACCTTACTCTACGACGCCACATGAATCAAATGCAACTCACGCAAGTTGCGCAGAATGAGCAAGGCGAAAGTGTTCAAAGAAAAAGGAGATCTGCGATGGCATCGCTTTACGTGTATTTGGTTTTCACAGTTTGCTATTTACCTAATATTTGTGTGTTCATTATCATCGCTTCGGCACTTCCGAACCAAGGAACGATCTACAGCATTTGCACTTTTATACTCTGACCCTGTTGTTTCTTAATTCAACCCTTAACCCACTGATCCACTGCTGGAAAGTGAATCACATTCGACACACTGTAATAGCCACACTGCGAAATATATTGTCAAATAACATTTAACGAAACCTTTGGGAGGATTTGAAACGCCTTATCAAGTACAAACCGGCGTCAAGCAGTTCACCCTGCGGGAACTGACGGCATTTTCAAGTTACACTAACTACACAAAATTTAAGAGAGTTTCAGTGTGATGTGTCTTGCCTCTAAAACTATTTCATCTCTTTTCACCTTCAAAATATTATCTCGTTATGAAAAATATCACAGATTTTATGACTGTCTAAGAAACAAGAACTATTTTTAACTCTTATCTTGGGTATTGTAAATTATCAATTAGAATTCGCTATTGCAACGCCAAAAACCGCACGCCATTTGCTTTCCAGTATCAGCGCATTAGGCGGCATAATATTGAATGTAGTCAAGAAATAGCGAGTTTAATAAAAAACGCTATACTTACCTTATTCATTCAAGATTTTATGACTAAGATCAACACCGCTATCCACTAAAATTGTTGGACGGGTTTTCTACATCGAGAATTGCCATTTTAGAGTATTTTGCAACAGAAACAGAGCAGGAACATAGCCCTGCATGCGTTCTCTCAACATTTCCCTCGTCCGGCGGATGCCATAAACAGGCTCCATGCAGCGGACAAATGTTTGGACAAGGTTACCGGTGATTTGATTAATTTTTTTTGGAAACCAAATTTGCTGTTTTCTGATTGCTTTGAAAATTACACATAAAACACAAAAAGGAATCGTACAGAGCGTCTTTACAACAAGTGAGACCAAGTAAAATATACTAACATGTTTATCCATGTAGTTGGGTTAAAAGAATGACGAGAAAAAAATTTTTAAGGGTAACTTTTGTAAATAGAGTTGATCCAACAGCCTTAGTTTACGTTCAAATAATAAGCAGCGCGTCACATTGCTAAATCAGTATTTTAATGAATTAAGATTTGCCTCAGAGAATACGGAGGACAGATAGGATTTCACCTTTTTTCCGCATTTTGGGATACAGTGTAAAATATATGATAACATATAACGCCGACAGTGGTAAAACTACAAATATATATACATATATAAAAACTTTAACTACAGGGACCGCGGAACAAGGTGAAAAGTGGGAGGGCTGACAATTGAAAATAATTTTTTCATATTGAAAATCGAAAAAAGGAATAAAATCATAGTATGTGATTTTCCAAAAGTGGGGGCGGGGGCGCAAAANAAAATATTATCTCGTTATGAAAAATATCACAGATTTTATGACTGTCTAAGAAACAAGAACTATTTTTAACTCTTATCTTGGGTATTGTAAATTATCAATTAGAATTCGCTATTGCAACGCCAAAAACCGCACGCCATTTGCTTTCCAGTATCAGCGCATTAGGCGGCATAATATTGAATGTAGTCAAGAAATAGCGAGTTTAATAAAAAACGCTATACTTACCTTATTCATTCAAGATTTTATGACTAAGATCAACACCGCTATCCACTAAAATTGTTGGACGGGTTTTCTACATCGAGAATTGCCATTTTAGAGTATTTTGCAACAGAAACAGAGCAGGAACATAGCCCTGCATGCGTTCTCTCAACATTTCCCTCGTCCGGCGGATGCCATAAACAGGCTCCATGCAGCGGACAAATGTTTGGACAAGGTTACCGGTGATTTGATTAATTTTTTTTGGAAACCAAATTTGCTGTTTTCTGATTGCTTTGAAAATTACACATAAAACACAAAAAGGAATCGTACAGAGCGTCTTTACAACAAGTGAGACCAAGTAAAATATACTAACATGTTTATCCATGTAGTTGGGTTAAAAGAATGACGAGAAAAAAATTTTTAAGGGTAACTTTTGTAAATAGAGTTGATCCAACAGCCTTAGTTTACGTTCAAATAATAAGCAGCGCGTCACATTGCTAAATCAGTATTTTAATGAATTAAGATTTGCCTCAGAGAATACGGAGGACAGATAGGATTTCACCTTTTTTCCGCATTTTGGGATACAGTGTAAAATATATGATAACATATAACGCCGACAGTGGTAAAACTACAAATATATATACATATATAAAAACTTTAACTACAGGGACCGCGGAACAAGGTGAAAAGTGGGAGGGCTGACAATTGAAAATAATTTTTTCATATTGAAAATCGAAAAAAGGAATAAAATCATAGTATGTGATTTTCCAAAAGTGGGGGCGGGGGCGCAAAAAAGTGGTGGGGCCGCGGCCCTACCAGCCCCTCCCCCTCCGCAAACTATGACTTACTGTCAAAGGTGGGAAAAAAAATGATGGACAAGTTGGTTTTCCGATGATTACGTTGAACTGAGTTTAATTTGTTAAACAAAACCCCTGTTTTCTAATTGCTTTAAAGCTTTTTGCAACCTGTTCAAGTGACAACAAGGAGGACATCTCTTTTGACACACAAAGAAGAAGCCGCCTGTTAAAAAGAAACTTTTTGTCTCTACTCTGTAAAAGAGAAATCTTGGTCAAAGATCAAAGGCTAGCTTATTGACCGTTGGGGACAGTCCACAATAACTTATTCTACTGCAATATCTTGCTTTACGACAAATTCAAGAAAGGATAACAAATGGATTTCTCGTACCTCACACTGAGCCTTTCAAACGCATTTTTATCTTACACCGCCACCATGCTAAACATTGTTACAATCCACGCGATCAGAAAGACTTCGTCTTTGTCAAAAAATTTAAAAGCATTGCTCCTGAGTCAGGCCTTTTCTGATCTTGGTGTCGGATTGCTGGCTCAGCCAATGTATCTTGCACGTCTTATTATGGAGTCGAAGCTAAACAGTGGGACTAACAGTTCTTATAATGCCATCTATATCGCGTACCTTATTCCGACCAATTTATTTACTCTCGCTACGTTGTTTCTCATTGTTATTCTGTGCGCTGAGAGATTCGCGTCCCTTCATTTTTACCTTAGTTACCATGAACTTGTAACACACAAACGCGTTGTTGCTGTGGTCGTCTCAATTTGGTTCCTTAGCGGACTTCTTTCATCAATGAGACTTTGGATTCCTAAAAGTACTACGTACGTGGTTTACGGAGTTGCTGGTTCTTCTTGCATTATAGCTGCCATTTTTTTCAGTGTCCGAATTTATTTGTCCGTGCGACGCCACGTGAACCAAATTCAAGTGCTGCAGCTACAACAAGTATCGCAGAACGGTGAAATGACTAACATTAAAAGGATGCGTAAGTTTGCTATCATGGCAGTTTACGTTTGCCTGGTTTTGCTGGTTTGCTATCTGCCAAATGGTTTCACTTTATTTGTTACTGCCTTAAGCGGATCAAACACTGGTATAAATCACGTTCATCACTATACTCTAACGCTAGAGCTTCTGCATTCATCGCTTAATCCACTGATATACTGTTGGAAGATGAAACACGTTCGACACACTGTCATTGGCATACTGCGAAATGCATTGAAATTGTCAAAGCACCACTAAAGGTGAAAAAGTTAAGCGAGGTTCAACCTAGTTATGTTTGCGCTTGACCTTCCATACATTGCCTTTATTTTCGCGCTTAAAATTTGCGTGCTTACGCACGTGAAAATTACTCTTCCGTGGAAATACACCTTTATTGCCTCTATTTTATTTACGCGCGTAAAATTTGCGTGCTTACGCACGTGAAAACTACGCTTTAGTGGAAATCCACCATTACTGCTTTACGCCAAGTTCATACCGGATAGTACCCATGCCACCTCGAAAACCTCAACGGATAAGGCTTCTGTTCACACATTAGAACGGTGATTATGGAGAGATTTCTGTAACGCAGCCACGCTGCGCCTAGCCTCCCACGCAGGCCTTTTTAGGGGATCTCATATTTCGTCCCTCCCCACAAACGCCTGCTCAACCGAGAACAACATTCCTTCCCATTGTCAGGGGCGTAGCTAAGGGGGGTCCTGGGGCGCCCGTAACCCCCCCCCCCTTGGCAGGCCTCTTTTTTCCCAAACAACCTTTAATT